ATGATTACTTAGTGTTGTTCTCTATATCATGCCCTGGCATAATCAAAATGCTGTATTGGTTCTAGTAATAGCCATAGTTGTGCTAGAGAAGATGAGGACAGTGGGAAGTTGTATTTACCGGGAAGATGTTCCATAAAGGTGAGGCCTGGATGCTGCAGAAATGGCCACAATCACAGCTGGGACTCCATACCCCACAGGGAACATGAGCTTCCTCATGACTCTGCTCCCACTGGAGTAGTTGGCCACCATCAGGTTCCGCACAGTGAGGAAGAGGTTTAGGCCCTCCAGCAGCATCCAGGTGAAGGAGGCCAGGTAGAGATAGTGTAGGGCACCTGCGATGATGGCGCACAGCACCTGGGGGTGGAGTAAAAGACACTGAGGGCAGCAGTCTGGACTAGGAGTGGTCCAGGAACTCTGTACCTGGCCACTGAAGGGAAATTCTGATGTACATAATGGAGTTGGAAAGGGAAGATTTGTTTTCTTCATGCTAACAGGGACATAGTTAAAAAAGAAAGGAAATAAAAAAGAGAATAAAAGAAAAATTTGTTTTCTAGTTGGGTAAGGCAGTGTGAAATTGGCAGGTTCCTCTTCTAACCCTCCCAGGACTCAGGGTCATTTCATTAAAGTATCCAAAGCAGCATCATTCCATTAACCAGAACCTTCTAGGGCAAGGAAGGGAGTCCTTTGCCTTTGATAGTGGAACACCACTATTAGTACCTTGGGTTTGGTTAGATCAATCACAGTGAGGAAAAGGAGGTGGGCCAGGAAGAGGCAGATGGAGAGCTGCAGGTGCAGTGAGGTGCTGGTGTTCTGGATGGCCTTGCACAGAAGGAGGGTGAGGGCTGCCAGGAGGAGGCACAGCAGGGAGAGGCTCAGCCCTATGTAGGTGATGAAGTTCAGCACCGGCTGGTCTTCCTGGGAAAAGAAAGGTTCACGATTAGAATTACCTGCGCTGGGGTAATGACTCCCACTACCATTTTTATTCTTGTATTGTTTATGAAATCCAGGAATGGAGGAGGAAGGTATGTATGTGAGGTTAATCTAGAATTTTATGAGGTTCTGAACTAATGAATTTAGCCCCTGGGAGGACTGAAGGACAGAAAGAGTCATCTCTTGCCATACTGGATGCCCACCCAGAGAAATTGTGGGATAATGAATTTGTTTTTGAAAGCTGCCACATTTGTAGGAATCTGTTACACGAAAGTAGATACAGAATGCATCTCCTCTCACCTGCACCTCGTAGTGCGCCAGGAGGACGGCAAAGCTGCTGAGGTGGGTGCAGCGGCAGGTGGTGCTGTTGTCTCTGGGGTCCACCGTCCTGCAGCCTGTGGTGGCCCAATGTCCACATCCACTCTGGCCATGCTCCCAGAAGGCACAGAATACCTTCTGCCTTGGTCCAGGGATCACTGACTGTAGGTACAGGGAACAGGTGTGTGCTGGGGGTTGGGATGCTCTGAGAGCCTGGCCCAATGTTGACTTGAGAAGGGTTGGTTTTTAGGGGGAGATGATGCAAATATGATGGGGTCCCCTAAACCCTAAGGCTTAACTGAACAATAAGGCTGTTCCTAGAACTCAGGTTTCTTCCAACGCCTGCCACCTCACCCTACCAGAACTCACATGATGGGAGAAGGTGAAAGTAACTGGGGAGCTGAGGTTCTGGGTGTTCTTGTTGCTCAGAAAGGCAGAGGTGACGTCTGAGAGCAGGACGGGGGGGACATCCTGCCTCCAGCCCTTGTGTGTTTCATGCAGAGCTGCTAGCTGCTCAGGCTCCAGGACCAGGGGGGCCTCAGCCAGCAACTTGCCCATCCCTGGAATGGACACGAGGCCCACCACAGAACGGCCTGCAGGAGAAGGTCATAGTTAACATCTTAAAGTCCCCAGTGGGGCCTTGTCCTTCTTAAATAAACTCTTCTCTTAGAGCTGCCCATACTCCACACCTCTCTTTAATCTTTAAATATCTGTTTTCCACACCTTTGGGCATTTTGTCTCACCATGAAGCCTCATGGACCTTCTACTATCTCAGCCATTACCTGCGTCACCAGGTTTCTGTGCCAGATTCCAGTTCAGCTGCATCTTTGCCTGATTCTGAGTCAAGGTGACATTCCTGTCTCCTTGGTCTTGTACTTCCAGGGACAGTTCTATGAATTGTGGGTATTACATAAGGGAAGTGAGGTTAGGATTTGCGCCTGCAATGGTTAACATAGCATTATTTTATGTGTGTGTATATATATATTCATATATATATGTATATATGGTGTGTATATATGTGTATATTTATATAAACACACTACCTGTACACGTAGGTACATACATACATATAGCTAATGTATATGCTCACATTCATATATAATATGTATGTTTACATAT